TTTTAAAATCGTTTTTAGCCCTGGTATTCTTCTCGAAATATTTTCCTAACTCGATGAACTAGCACCAGTTAAAATATTATAATGGTTGAACATCGTATGGTATGGGTTTCATATTTTTTTGTTTAACCATACAGTGCTGAAGGGAGAAGTATGCGAATTCTTAGGAAATCTTGCAATGACTCCTAAGACACTCTATCATATTTATTTTGGTTGCCATATGTGATTGTGTTGTGCTATATAAACCTTATGTCACTGTAGTTCTCAAACTAAAACTCACACATGCATTAAAATGTGAATTCGATGAAGTAAAGAAACACGAAATTGAATAGATGCATTAAAGTTTACAAGTGATGGGGTGAGCCCGGTTTAGAATCTTGCGCAAGTGAGTTGCGAAACCTAACATGGCACGGGAAGGTATTTCGGCTCTTATCGGTGTAGGCGATATAAGGTTGGTGGTGCGGGTGTCACAACATAGACCGTTCCCTTGGGGCAGACCGTGATGTCACGACTCGGGTACATAACCCTGGTGCGTGGGCATCATTGGTAGTTACAATAAGTAACATTTGAATATTTGACCAATGGGGAGTCAGAATTGCCCGTGGCCATTGCTTAGCGGTTGAGTGGAAATACTGCTCCGTGGGGAGTTACTTAAATTTACCTGATAAACTGAATCTAAGAGAAATTAGAAAGAAAAGCATGCATTTTCCTTATGATGAATCACTATTTCCATTTGTCATCTTTATTTATTTATCTATTGATATTATTTTAACTATTAGCATGTCTGTTATGCTTACTAAATGCTGCTTACTATTCTGTTATTATACGATATTTATTATTTATGAGTATCATAATCGGGGTGGGTATTTTCGGATTGTAGTATATTACTGAGCTTGTCGCTCATTGGCATTCTCGTTGCCCTGGCGTTTTATGCCAGGTACCGAAGAAAACGAAGGAAACACCGAGGCCGTGCAAGGTGATATTCAGCCTTGGTTAGCTTGAAGAGTCCCCAAATTCCACAAACCATTTCCTATATTTCTCTATCTTTTCTTTCGCAGTGGTTTTAAACTTCTTTTTGTGTAACGAGACTAAGTTTTAAGTTCTATTAGAATTGTAATTTGAAAACTTTAAAATTTTTGGGTTGTTAATTAATGGATATTAGTGATGTTTGATGGCAACATTGATTTCAAGTCCTAAATCTTATTATGATGTCCAAAAAAAAAAAAATTGGGGCGTCACAGTTAAGCTGAACCAAACACATCAAAATAGCTTAAATTAAGCTAAAAGCTGAAATAAGCTGGAAATAAACTCTACCAAACAGGCCGAATGTAAAAAATGATCTAAAAATCACGTTTTTAAGCTGCTGAACTCGCGCAGTCCGCTCGAGCGTCCCTTTTCACACTCGAGCGTACCTGCTTCCAGCACAGATTCCGAAACTTCGAACAGGTATAAATTTCCCATCCATACTCCGTTTTAGGTCATTCTTGTGTCCAAATTGAAGCCCCGAAAATAAGCTTTCCAATGGTTCTAGCCTCACATCCAAATTCAAAGTGTGGAAAAAGAAAAGGGTAAAAGAGTGACAGTTGTTCGTAGGAAGATTATCTGAATTAAAGTTTTTAGTCCAATCTTACTTTACCATCATGTTACCACTTCGATCAATGACCCAAAATAAAAACTAGGAAGCTCCAAAGACAATAATGAAAGGGTCAAAAGCAATCCCACTAACCTCAGAAATTCAAACTCAACCAGGTAGACCGCTCGAGCGCCCAATCTCGCGCTCGAGCGCGTAGACCAACAAAATCGGCTGCTCAAGCGACCACTCCTACGCTCGAGCGGGAATTCACAACTCTCAGAATTTCGGATAGACTGCAAAAATACTGGATGCCTCACAAGTCCGCTCGAGCGTCAACTCCCCCGCTCGAGCGGAAGGAAAAATTATAGATTGCTACAATCTTCCCTCCTTAAATCCCCGAAATTGCATCCGTTCTCAAAACCATAACACAATACAACAACAAACCCCAATCTAATAACAAGGCATAACAGCAACAATATATATATACCTATCAATCCTTAACATCATTCAATTACACCTCATATCAATTTTAAACCCAAAAGTACAAAGTGTTACAAAGCAAATTACATATATTCAGAAATTTGTTTCCAAATAAATTCAATTTTGTTAGATATTGAGTATCCAAAAAAATAAATAAAAGTACTTGGCTTTGTAAACTTTCTAACTTCTCCTACTATGTTTTGGAGTGATGTGTAGACACAAAATTTACCCCGCACGCTAGTACCTCGTGGTTAAGTTTGAAACTGTGCAAATGACATCGTATGATCTGAAACTCACATGAAAGATGAGCTTACTAGCGGGTGTGTGCCAAAAGACCCTTCTGATGCCTAAATTAGAACAATATGATCAAGACTGGGGAAAAACTATCTAGGAGCTCTATGAATAGAATTGCATTACTTTTCTTAGGTTGAACTTTGAGACTTTACCTTGAGGGATGATGATGAACTTCCAAGAGGACGTGAAATTTCTTCGGAGCTTCTCAAATCAATTGAAGGATCCAGGATCTCCATCGTTGTTTTCTCAAGAAACTATGCTTCTTCGAGATGGTGCCTGGATGAGCTCGTGAAGATCATTGAATGCAAGAAAACAATTGGGCAATTAGTTCTCCCAATATTCTACGATGTTGATCCGTCCCACGTACGCCACCAAACAGGGTATTTTGGAGAAGCATTTGGAAGACATGAAAAGCGTTTTGCGGATGAGATGGAGAAGGTGGAGGTGAGGAGAGCTGCCCTCTCTGAAGCTGCTAATTTATCAGGCTGGGATTTGCAAAATGTTGATAATGGGTAATTTTTAACATCCTTTTCATTTTGCTGCTGCTGCTGCTATCAATTTTTATCTTTAACTAGAAAAATCATATCCTTATTGTTTTTAATATTAAAAAAAAAAAAATCAAGTATAGTTAGTTCACTTTGTGAGTTCAAGGTGTTTTGAATTTTACATTTATTATTGGAAGTGGGGTTTGTAAGGTTTTGTATTTTTGTAATATACACTTGCTTTGCTTTTAATTTGGATCGAAATTGACAGGCATGAAGCAAAGTTCATCCGAAAAATTGTTAAAGAGGTTTTATGTGAACTGAAACATACAATCCTAAATGTTGCTGTGCACCCAGTTGGAATAGATTCTCATGTTAAACACATAAAGTCGTTGTTGAGCACTAGATCAGATGATGTTTGCATGATTGGGATATACGGCTTGGGTGGAATAGGCAAAACGACCATTGCAAAAGCTGTGTATAACCATATTTTCCTCCAATTTGAAGGGAGTTGTTTTCTTGCAAATGTTAGAGAATTTACAGGACAATTCAATGGCCTAGTTCAGTTGCAAGAACAACTTCTCTTTGAATTATTAGGGATAAAGAATCTAAAGATCAGCAGTGTTGATAGAGGAATGAATTTGATAAAAAAAAAAGGCTCTATTCTAAAAGGTTTCTCATTGTTCTCGATGATTTGGATCAATTAAGTCAGTTAAATTCCTTGGCAGGAAATCGTGATTGGTTTGGTCCAGGAAGTAGAATCATCATATCAACTAGAGATGAGCACTTGTTGAACGGACTGAAAGTTTATGAAAGATACATGGCTAAGAAATTGAATCATGAAGAGTCTCTGCAACTTTTCAGTTGGCATGCCTTTGGTGAAACCAATCCATTAGAAAATTATGCAGATCTTGCAAATGGTATAGTAAGTTATGCTGGTGGGCTGCCACTAGCTCTTGAAGTTTTGGGTTCTTATTTGTTTAGAAGAAACATGGTAGAATGGAAGAGTGCATTTGATAAGTTACAACAAATTCCTCATGAGAAAATTCAGGAAAAACTTAGGATAAGTTTTGATGCACTAGATGATGACAACATAAAGGATATCTTTCTTGATATTGCATGCTTTTTCATTGGAATGGACAAAGACTATGTCATTACTATATTGAATGGTTGTGGTTTCTTCGCAGAAATTGGAATTAGTGTTTTGATTAGTAGATGTTTACTGAGAATTAGTACAAACAATAAGTTGATGATGCATGATCTACTTAGGGATATGGGGAGGGAGATTATTCGAGAAAAATATCCCAAGGAGCCTAAAAAGCGCAGTAGATTGTGGTTTCATGAAGATGTATGTTGTGTACTCGAAAAAAACAAGGTAAGAGTTGAATCTTAATTCTTTCTAGTGTGTTAGTAAGTTTTCGGCTTGGAATGCTAATTTTGGTTATTTTATAGTCTTTCTTCCTTTTAATTTTCCATTTTGTTTCTATATTAGGGAACGACAGCAATCGAAGGTGTGAGCCTGATCCTACCCATGTTAAAGAAGATACAATGGAGTAATGAAGCATTTGCTGGGATGCCTAAGTTAAGATTGCTTCGAATAAATCATGTGCACCTTTGTGGAAATTTTGAATGTCTATTTGAAGAGTTAAGGTGTCTCTGTTGGCATAACACAGCCCATTGGAGTATTTACCATCCAATTTTCATCCAAAGAAACTTGTTGCTTTAGACACACAATTCAGCAAATTTAAAACACTCCAGATAGATGGCAAGGTATGACATTCTTAGCAAATTCATTGTTGTTTGGGATTTGAATAAATTATGCAGTGGATCATGATGAAAAAAATTTATATAATTTTGTATATTTTTCTTGGTTTAACAGCACTTCAAGAGTTTGAAAATTCTAAATCTCAGTAATTCCAAATGCCTAACAAAAAGCCCCATCTTCTACGCACTACCGATGCTTGAGGAATTACTGCTTGAAAGTTGTACAGGTTTAATGGAGCTCCATGAATCAATTGGGCTTCTCGATAAACTTGTTCACTTGAATTTGAAAGATTGCATGAACCTCAGGTATCTTCCAGGCATTATCTGCAAGTTAAAGTCTATTAAAGCCAAGTTTGGCATAACCTAAATAATACAAAAAGTCAAAAAGTCACTATCCTATTTAAGTCACATCATCTTATTTAAATCACATCATCTCTCTAACACATCACATCAAACCCAACCCAAACCCAACCCATATATAAGCTAATAAGTCAAAAAATGTACTTTTTTAGAACATCCCAAACCAACCCTAAATATCTAAATCTCACTGGTTGTGCAAAATTAGAGGAGTTTCCAGAGCACTTGGGACATATGGAAAGCTTAACAGAGCTTCTTGCAGATGGAACAGCCATTAAACAGCTACCTTTCTCTATTGGATTGTTGAAGAATCTTAGGAGCTTATCTTTGAGAGGATGTAATAGGCAATTGACAACTAAATCCTTGTTTTCTCTCATTTCATCTTGGGTTTTATCGAGAAAAAATGCCGACTTCATAAGATTTTTACCATCCTCTGTTTCAAGTTTGTGTTCCTTAACAAAGCTACATCTCAGTGATCGCAATCTGTCTGAAGAAAATTTTCCAGCTAATATTCGGAGTTTATCCTCGTTGCGAGACTTGGATTTAGGCGGAAACAATTTTCGTATTCTACCATGTGGCTTCAGTCATCTATCCAAGCTAGAAAACCTTGGGTTGAATAACTGCAGAAGTCTTCAATCTATCTTAGATCTTCCTTCTAATTTACGTAGCATGGATGTTTGTGGTTGTGCATCACTTGAAAAAGTATCTGATTTGTCAAAAGTAAAGGATGTAATAATTTGGTTCAGTAACTCCAAATTACATCGTCTCTCAAATGGTAATAATGATGGAATGCAAGATCCTCATTGTTTTCAAGGTGCACGAATCATTCCCTTGGACAAGCCCAGGCTCAACAATTTACAAAATCCCTGTCAGGTCTCTCTCTCTCTCTCTCTCTCTCTCTCTCTCTCTCTCTCTCTCTCAGGTGCAACAATTTAGCAACAAAAAAAAAAAAAAATCTCTGAAAATTAAGTGAAATGTGTGAAACCTAATTTATTTTAGATGTGACCTATATAATACTAAAGGAGGAGGATTCCATTAGTCCCAAATTATATGGATTGGATAATGCTATTTAGGTATGTGGAATCAACCATGGGGCTCACGAGTTCCGTTTTGATAATTCGAATATTTCATTTCATCGGGCATTTCATGTATGTGTATTTTTATTTACACGAAAAATTAGATTGATCCAATAATTATAATATATTCAATTTATTAAATTTGTCACAAAAATATGACAATTGTGTTTTCAAAAATAAACATTTTTTTTTTTGGTGACAAAAGTAATAAATTAAATAGGTTACGATTATCGACTTAATTTTTGTGGGAACGAAATAGATGAAGTGTCTAATAAAATGAATTGTTCAGATTATTATACGGAACCTATGGTGAGTTTCATGGACCTAAATAACACAAGTGGACTAGAGAGGAGTTGCCTACTAGAGATGGAAAATATTATCTTACTCTTATTGAATTTTTCATTCAATGGCAAGGACAATTTTAAAAATAGGGTTCACTAGTTTTTTCACTGTTTTGTTACATCATAATATATTAGATGATTATATATCGCATGTTTATATCATCTTTTTATATCACCAACTTATTTGGAAAGATGTCATTTGTTTGTATTAATTTGTTAATAATCATCTTCAAATAAGAGAATTAATTATAAGAATCCATATAGACGGTGACACAAAATAATGATAAATAATCGGTCATATATATCATTTTTCTATGACAATATGTTATTTGTTTTCATTAATTTCTTAATAATTATTTCTAAAAAAATGAGCCAATTATAAATATCCATGTAGATAATAATATAAAATAATGATAAAAACATATGTGACATATATAACATTTCTTTCTTCAAATACAAATATTTTTGATGAGTCTTCTAATTTTAAATGATAAAATTAAAACTTGTCACTGTATTAATTTGATTCAAAAAAAAAAAAAAAATCCAAACAAGATTATGGGAATACAAAATAAACAATATCACATAATCTATAATCATGTGCAGATTGTGATTCAAACACGAGGATATGAAAATTGGCAAGGAGGCGAAGCCAATCTGTTAATTACACGAGGATTAGTTGGGCGATTTTCAAACAAAGCCACCCTTTTGACATTTTTCTTTTCCTTTGTGCAATCCCTTGCATAATGTCCTTCTTCTCCACATAAATAACATTTGCAATGTTTGGACTTTTGCAAGTACTCTTTGATGCTGTTCATTTTATCAAACTCTTACCACAGGCAACCAGGCCAAGTCGAGCAACTGATGGAGCTGTAAAACACATTGAACAGCTTCTATAGCTTAAGGTGATCAGGCCAAGCAAAAGTCGGCATCGTACCACTGCATTTATTGTAAATTCTGGTACGTATATTGATCCTGTCACAAAGGAGGAGAAACGTGGCAAAGAAAGAATGGTATGCAACTACAAGAGGTTAAATGATAACACCCATAAGGATCAATACAGTCTACCTGGTATAAATACTATAATGGCAAAGATTGGTCATAGTAGTATTTACTCCAAGTTTGACTTGAAGAGTGGATTTCATCAGGTCGCTATGCACCCTGATTCCATTGAATGGACAGCATTCTGGACACCTCTCGGACTATATGAATGGCACATTCTTGTAGAATGTAACATTGTCTCCTTCAATTCTGACTCCTCCGTACATTGCTCGGATAAAATTGCATCCGATGATCATTTGGATTCGGCCTCCAAGGTGGAATGGGAAGCTATATGTATAAGGGATTCTGAACCAATTATCCCCTATGTACATTTTTCCACCCTTCAACTTTTTATTTGCCTTTGATCGCGAATTCAAACCATTGAATTCAACGGTATAAGAATTTTCTTCTAAGGCATCAGCTGGAACTGATTCAGAGTCCACGACACAAGTTGCTGGTGGATAGCCTGGGGGTCCCATCATTGAATCCTGTGGAGGATTATAATGCCCATTATATTCAAAGGTCAGCCCAAATGGTGAGAAGCGGCTCAATGGTCAAGACTGGGATTTGATCCACAAGATTAAAGCCAAGATCCAGAAGCTGCCAAATCTATCAATTCCTCCATCAAAATGTGTCATTATTCTTGAAACTGACGGATGCATGGAAGGATAGGGAGGAATCTGCAAGTGGAAGCCAGCTGCGAATGATCCTCGCTCCACTGAAAGGATTTGTGCATACGCAAGTGGGAAGTTCAATCCCATAAAATCAACAATTGATGCTGAAATATATGCTTGCATGAATTCTTTGGAATCCTTCAAGATATATTATCTTGATAAACCGCAGCTAACTCTAAGAACTGATTGCCAGGCTATAATCAGTTTCTTCAACAAAACAGTGGACCATAAACCTTCACGGTCCAGATGGATAGCCTTCACAGACTACATAACTGGCCTAGGCATAGATGTATCTTTAGAACATATTAATGGTTCTGATAATACTCTAGCTGATGCCCTCTCAAGGCTTGTATATTCACTGTTTTCATTTACAGAATGGCCAACAGAGGTGGTGCCGGAAGATATGGAGGTTCTAGTCGGCCTACAACAAATAGAAGAACTTATCCAGGTTTGCGAAGAGAAGAAAGAATCATCCTCGCTGAAACTGAGCCATCAAGCCGTTGGATTGATCCACAGTTTCATCCCCATGCTGTACAGTACCAATCTCTTCTCCAACAGATTGAAGATAGATTCACCTATGACTCCGGAATCCCATTTGAGGAAATGGCAGAAATCCAAGGACAACTTTCCAATGAAGAAGATGACGCCATTGAACAAGCCAGAACCGTGATTTCTGCAAGATCCAACAACTCAAGTTGGAAGCCTTTGCCAGAGCTGCCATTAACGACAATCTGTACGGAGATAAGTTACCCGAAGTCCATCAGCAAACCTGTGAGCTAAAGGAGATCGATAATGAGTTATTCGATGTCGTCATGCTGATGAGGTTATTCCGTTACTGATAAGATGATAAGGTTGAAGCCCAGTCTCTATTATTGATCAATAGTGTCTGTCAATAATGTTGATCAATAATGCTTGAACAAGGAAGGACGTGGCGGGTCCCGGTGTCTGTCCTAGTGTCTGTAATAATATTCCACTTCAATCACTACTCAGTTGACAACTGAGAAAAGCTGTTGGAATATTAGTTTGTCGTATGTATGATATTTTGCAAAAATGGTCTTTGCATTATTTAAGTTCTGTAATGATAAGATTCTTGATAAGGTTTGCGATAGTGCGACGATGAGACCCAATGAGCACTCGGCACGTATCCCCTACCTTTATTAAGCTTATCTCTTGAGTCGTCTATAAATAGAGTCGAAGTTTAGTATCTCAAGCATCAAGAGAAGTTAGAACAACTACACTTGTATACTTGAGTAGTCAGTAATCAGTCTTCCGCTTGCACTTGTAATTTCAGCTTTTCAGGTCTGTAAAACTTCTATATAGTTCTTGTTTTACTTATCCTGTCTGGTTGAAATTGTTTTTACGATCCTCCTTTGAGGATGTATCCTTCTGATTGGTGGACGTATAATCCAATTTCTTCCTCGTAAGACATCAGTAGAAACTTGTGGGATTATATACATGGCTATTGATGTTAAATCATAGCCAACAGCTCCATCAGTTGCTCGACTTGGCCTGGTTGCCTGTGGTAAGAGTTTGATAAAATGTTGTCGTCGTGCAATCAACGCCTCCAATTTCTTAATCTGCGGGTACTCCGTCTCCGCTTCTTCTTCCATCATAGCAATAATGTTGATCAATAATATACATGGCTATTGATGTTAAATCATAGCCAACAGCTCCATCAGTTGCTCGACTTGGCCTGGTTGCCTGTGGTAAGAGTTTGATAAAATGAACAGCATCAAAGCCTTCATATTCACTCATAGGGTAACAGGTTCGGCAAAGCTTTTTATCCTTCTTCTTTCTTCCTGGATGAAGGGCCTTTCAATCTGCGTATCTCCCACGCAGAGTACTGCTTCTTCAGATCGGTGAACATAAACTCGATGATGTGCATCATCTCGTCTAGTTCTGTATAACACCTCCGCTGGTGCTATGTTTGCTCTTTCCGCCATGGATAGTTGTAACTGCACTTCTGGAGAGATCTGCTGCTCCAAGGTGTTTGATGTTGAGGGTCTTCCTCTTATCCGTTGAAGTGCGTTTCTGGCTCTTCGTTGCAAGACATAATTCCTTCGTTGGTCTTGCCGATATTCTCTAATTTGATCTTCAAATAGTGGTGCTCCAGGTGTTGCTGTTGTTGGCCTAGGCTGGTTAGTAACTCGTGGTAAAGTCACCGTCCGAGTTCTTGAGGTTGAGGCCATCATGAATTTTTAAGCCTGAGTTTATCAAGGTCAAGCGTTTCCTTAAAGACTGATGGTTGTTCTTCAAAGAACAAAAGTGTCTCTTGCCGATTGCGAGCTTCATTCTGAATAGAGGTAGCATCATCTTCAGAATCCATGATTTCATTATCATTCTGATCATAGTGAACTGGATCTGCTCGTTGGGCAGCTACATAATCACCAAATCGTAGGCTGAAATTTCCGCCAGGTAAGTCTTGATGCTTGAGATACTAAACTTCGACTCTATTTATAGACGACTCAAGAGATAAGCTTAATAAAGGTAGGAGATACGTGCCGAGTGCTCATTGGGTCTCATCGTCGCACTATCGCAAACCTTATCAAGAATCTTATCATTACAGAACTTAAATAATGCAAAGACCACTTTTGCAAAATATCATACATACGACAAACTAATATTCCAACAGCTTTTCTCAGTTGTCAACTGAGTAGTGATTGAAGTGGAATATTATTACAGACACTAGGACAGACACCGGGACGTACATTGCTCGGATAAAATTGCATCCGATGATCATTTGGATTCGGCCTCCAAGGTGGAATGGGAAGCTTAACATTCGGCCCAAATCCTTAATATAGTTTCTTGCATAGTTAAGAAGGCCCAACCAAGAGCGTAAGCCCTTAGTTTCTTTGAGAGTTTCATCTGGGAATTGGGCTACCTTTGTAACAATGTGAGGTTGCAACTTTATTTCTCCTTGCCCAATTGTGGAGCCCAAGAAATCCATTTGAATTGCTGCGATCTTCATTTTTGTTGGGCTCAGGATAAGCCCATTCTTCTTACAGATTTCAAGCATGGACTGGATATGCTTTGCATGAGACTTTTCATCAGGAGAGAAGACTAAGATGTCATCAATGTAGACTGCAATATAATCTTCAGTTCCTTTGAAACATAAGTCCATCTTTCTTTGAAATACTGTTGGAGCATTCTTTAATCCAAATGGCATGACTAGCCATTCATATAGTCCGAGAGGTGTCCAGAATGCTGTCCATTCAATGGAATCAGGGTGCATAGCGACCTGATGAAATCCACTCTTCAAGTCAAACTTGGAGTAAATACTACTATGACCAATCTTTGCCATTATAGTATTTATACCAGGTAGACTGTATTGATCCTTATGGGTGTTATCATTTAACCTCTTGTAGTTGCATACCATTCTTTCTTTGCCACGTTTCTCCTCCTTTGTGACAGGATCAATATACGTACCAGAATTTACAATAAATGCAGTGGTACGATGCCGACTTTTGCTTGGCCTGATCACCTTAAGCTGTAGAAGCTGTTCAATGTGTTTTCCAAAGCTTTCCTTCATTGCTGGAGTTATATGCTTCATTGGCCTGTCATTGATTATAAAATCAGGATTCTTCAGGTCCAGCTTGCAAGTGATCTGCTGAAATGAAGAGGCTTCGAGAGGAAGCAATTCAATACAAGACAGAGCTTGAAGAACTCAAGCTAGTCATGCAGCTACAAGATGATGAACGAGAACTAAGAAGGAAAGGAAAGTATAAAGAAGACAACTTTATCTATAACTATCTTAAGGTTTAATAATTTGTCTTGTGGTATTTGAAGAGCAAAAGACGTAAGAAGGCAACAAGGCAGGTGGTAAGATTATCTTTTTCTCAATAATTCATTAGATACAAACTTTGGAAATTCAATATATCAGTTTAGTATAAAATTTCATACCATCAGAGGCCTTTGCTAATATTTGTCATAATTTATCATTGATTAGGATAAGATTATACATACTAGTCTGAAAATTTGATGACGCCTTTATGAGATGGGAATCAATTACACGATCACATAAAAAGAGTGGGACATATCATAAAAGATACAGTTTCACTCTCAAATTATTCTATTTATATTTTATGATGTCGATTTTGTATTTGCAAATTTATTTCAGTTTTTATTTTTTATTTTATTTTTTATATTTTCGTCTAGCACTCTACTAATTAGAAATTCATATGATAGCATCTTCATGACGGGCCTTTCATGAGTGGTGAAAATTTCTACACCGATAGTGACTTCAGCCGTTGGTTCCTCCATACAGTAACAGGGTCTTCTTCGATATCCTTAGAAGTGCCAGTAATGCCAGGGGAAGACGACTACGTTTCAGGGTTCAGTGTGGAAGTTGTTTTTTATAGAGCTGGGGATGAAGAAAGCTGCTCCATGGAATTAGATGATTATCCATACATCATTATTACTGATAAAATTAATGGCATCGATTTTATATGTACCCCAACCTTCTTTGCTATCCCTAAGAGTAGTGGAGATTATGTTTGGCAAAGCCGTATAGGAGTTGAAGAATATTTTGGGTATAGAATTAAAGGTGGTGAGCAATTTGAGATTTCTATTATTATGCTGCCACCTTTTAGAGTGAAACAATGTGCGATGGATCTGATTGTCCGTCACATCGGAGGCAACACCATCAACTTCTCTGGATTGAGTAGTTTACCGGAACCCTCCTCCTACAGATGATGAAGGATAATCAAGAGGATTATTTTGGAAAGTAAGTTAAAATGTGATTCAAATAGGGTAAAAATCAAAAATTAACTTTTAACCAAATTCTCAAATTAGGGGGGCCATCTCACGTTACAAATACATTGCAAATGGATTTTTCATTTACCATTGTAATGGATTCTACAGCGAGCCTAAGAATGACATTTTATTATATTTCATCCCATTCTAATTAATCATTATTCCCAATGAAATTGGTCCGACACTTAAATCACCTTGTTTTGTTTTGTTTTGATTAATTTTTTGAAAATTGTGTGTTTTTTTTTTTTGTATTTTGTGTTTTTTTTAGTGATTTTTAAAAATATTTTAAGTAATTTTTTACTTTCTAGGTGTACATAACTTAGGTGCACCTAAAAAATAAAATATTTGTGAAAAATATTTTAAAAATTCAATAAATATATAAGAAAACAAAAATATACTGTTTTTTTTTTTGAATTTTTTAGAGAATTTTTTTTTTAAAAAAAATATTATAATTTTTTAGTGTATCTAGGTTAAGTGTATCTAAAAATAAAAAAATTTCTTGAAATATTAAAATTTTTGACTAAAAATAAAAAAATAAAATAAAATAAAAAACTCAATTTTTTAGAACATGAGTTCAATTGTTTTAAATCCAAACAAGGTGATTGGTACTTTGGCCTGTTTTAAGAATTTGACTAGTTTAGTTGGTTTTTGATTTTTTGATTTTTTCACTAGAAAAAAAAAAAAATTGTTTGGGATAATTTGTGAATTTTTTTTATAGTTAAGTAGATGATTATAAGAGAAAAAATAATTAATTAATATATTAGATATTTTATTTTATTAACTATTTAAAGTTTTTTTTTAATCTTTATTGTGCAGGTAACTTTAGCAACCCTGTCCAACTATAAGATGATGTCTTATATTTGGGTCAAAATTAAATTCCTTATTTTACGTTGTCCTATTTGTGATTTTAAGCCCAAGTAACCCATACGAGCCTCAAATGGGCCATAGGCCTGTCATTTTTAGAGTCTAGCTGTTCGTTACTCTTGTCAGGGTGCACCTTATCATAAAATATATAATTTTATTACAAAATTTTATAATATCAATTATAAATGCGTAATGTTAGTATAAATTACTGTAACAAAAAATATTATGATTAAGCCACAAATTTTTATAATATCAAATACAAAATTTTAGATATTTTATTACGTCAATTTGTAGTGAACTCATGTATTTTATGATTGATGTTATGAAATTTTATGATAAAATTAAGGGGTGATTTGAGATATTCTAAATAAGTACACTTTTTAACTTTTTAATGTAAAAAAGTAGAGAAAGTGGGTAGAAAAGTAGAGAAGAGATATTGATAGATATTGATAGATGTTGATTGATGTGACCCAAATAAGTGTATATATGCAAAAAAAAGTGCACTTTTTTAGTGCATGCCAACCACCTACTAAATAAGAAATTTTGATGAATATGAGAATTGTTGTTCATTTTGGAAATTATTATTTAAAATGTTGATTTAGTCTTGAAATGGCTAATTTGTTGAGAATGCTCGAAAGGTGGGAAATATGTTATCTCTTGGATGAATTGGAATAAATGTGTATCTATTTATCTTGTGAAATTGCGTGGAAAGGAGAAATGAGAAATTTTGATCAGACTCGAGGCTTTCTAACTTTAATGTTCAGCTAGTCCACCTATATATATATATATAAATAGTGAGCTAGAGCCTAGTGAGTAATAACAGAATAAATAGGTTATATGAATGAAGTTCGATAACATGTTAATCAAATTCTCATTTCAATTCTCTACATTGAATAAATTTCATGATCGATGTCATTCAACATCAAATTAAGTGGCACACCCATGAACAATAGCATTTCAATCACAGTGAACCGAATACCAATGGATCATGAAGGGTCAAGCCAATAGACCACGAAGGGTCAAACCAATGGACCACATATAACATTAGAGATCTCTTTGTTTCAAATAATCCAATAGCCATGGTATTGTTACCTCCAAGCAAGAGCCTATGTTCAATGGATGCCACAAATACATTTCGAAAATGAACTTCATTCATCATTACTAAATAACTTTTCAATAAACCATTCAATCATTCGCATATTGATTCCAAAAACAATAACAATTTCAAAATAATATTACTTGAGCATATCTTTATAAAGTTACTACTCACAGTGATTTGAGTTGTCACTAAGCCTCGAACGTCCACCTAAGCAAAACACATAACAAAAGCGCAATGAAACACCAATTCATCTTAATTAAATCCTTCTCATGTGTTTCTAACTCATTCTATAATTATATGAGTCCAAATGGTGCCTAAGAATACTTAGAGTGACATGAGGATGCAAATATGCACTTAAAAGAGTTTGTGAAATTTTGCTGGAAACAAGGTCTCCGCTCGAGCACAACTTTCTACGCTCGAGCGGGGCTCAAAAACAAAGGTGGTTGCTCGAGCGCAACTTCTACTGCTTGAGCGGCCTGCAAATGTGAAAAAAGTACTGGTTGCATGAAATTCTCGCTCGATGGTCGCTCGAGCGGAAGACTGAGTAAAAAGGGTCCTCGCTCGAAACCCACTTCTGCTGCTCGAGCGTCCTGTAAGATTTTGCAAAACTTCTGGGAGTTCGATTTTCACGCTCAAGCAGGGCTTTCCTCGCTCGAGCGGACAAGCCAAATTCTGGAATTTTCAAAATTGTGTTTGAAGTTTAAACATGGTATCCAAAGTCTCAAAACTTGTGTTTTTGGTACAAAAACATAGAGAATCATTATATAACATGAAAATACTCCCAATTTGAAACCATTGGTTCAAAACTATGGCAAATTTTCAACCAAGAACTTTAATTTCAAGTTATAAAACAAGTTTAATTCAATTTGAGTGTATATTTCTTCAAAACATGTTCAAAACATAATCAAATGACATGAGAAGCATGAGAACATGAAGGATTCTCCAAATTGAGGTGTAAATGTGCCATGCATGTAGGAATTTCATGAATTCTAACTCAAATTATGCATGCATGTATATGTTTAACTCTTTAACTTCCAAATTCAAGGTGATTGAAGCTTCTATTTAACAATTTCATGCAAATGAACTCAAAACCTTGATGAATACAAGTTCTACATGACTTAATTCCAAGAATTTAGGTTGAATTTCATACCTAATGTGTGAATGCAAGTGTTGTATAGCTTAATTCTTCAATTCTCCACAATTTCCTTCAAGTTTCCCCTTTCTCTATCCCTAGATGTTGAGCTCCCTCTTGTTCTCTCTCAAAATCTCAGCTCAAATGAGGTACATATGAGCCTCTAGCTTAATTAGAGCTATTTATATAGTGTGATTAGTTTAGCCTAATCAAGTATGATTAAGGTTAAGTAATTTAGGCTCAATTCTAATTAATATAATCAATTTATTCTAATTATTTTGATCTAAATTAATTTTCAATTAAAGTTACTATAAAATTCTAAATATTCCAATTAGCCTATTGGCGTAGTTAATTTCAGTTTCTGAAGCCGTTTAGGCTCTCAATTTCTGACTCTAAGTTGTCAATTTAAACAGATATTCCATGTGACAACAGATAGCTACAGAATTAAACAGGTAATCACACAATCAAGCACATAATCATGCAATTAGGCTCATTAAAATAACATAATATATTAGTTCGGAGGTCAGGGTCGTTACATATGGTAGGTCCCATGGACCTAAACAAGACCAATGGATTAGAGAAGAGTTGCCTATTAGAGATGGAAAATAATATCTTACTCACACTGATTTTTATTCAAAATTTTTTATTCAAATGATGTGGCAGTAACAATTTTAAAAATAGGATTCACTAATTTTTTCACTATTTTTATTACTAGCTACATCATAATATATTAGACGATCATATACTACATGTTTATATCATATTTTTATATCACCAACCTACTTGGAAAGATGTCATTTGTTTGCATTAATTTGTTAACAATTATCTTCAAATAAGAGAATTAATCATAAGTGTCCATATAGACGGCGACACAAAATAATGATAAATAATTGGTCATATATAGCATTTCTCTATGACAATATGTTACTTGTTTTCATTAAGTTCTTAACAATTATCTCTAAACAAATGAGGCAATTATGAATATCCAGGTAGACAATAATACAAAACAATGATAAACACATATGTGATATATAACATTTCTTTTTTCAAATATAAATAACTTTGATGAGTCTTTTAATTTTAAATGATAAAATTAAAACTTGTCACTGTATTAATTTGATGCAAAAAAAAAAATTAGAACTTGCCACTATATTAATTTGATGAAAAAAAAAATTCAAACAAGATTATGGGGATATAGAATAAACATGACATAATCATACATATCATATGAAAAGAGTGGGACTTATCATAAAATATGCAATTTCACTCTCAAATTATTTTACCTATATTTTATGTTATTGATTTGTATCCACAAATTTATTTTAATTTTTTTTTTTATTTTCTTCTAGCACTCTACTAATTAGAAATTCATATGACAACATCTTCGTGACAGCTCCTTCCTAGGCGACTGTTTCTATACCGGTGATTTGAGCGATAGTTTCAGGTATAAAATAACAAGGTCTTCTTCGGTATCCTTAAAAGTGCCAGTAGTGCGAGGGGAAGATGACTACGTTTCAGGGTTCCATGTGAGAGTTGATCACTATAGAGCTCGGGATGAAGAAAGCTACTCCATGAAATTAGATGATTCTCTATACGCCAGTATTAATGATAAAATTAATGACATTGATTTTACTTATACCCCAACCTCATTCGTCATCCCTGAGAATTGTGAAAATTATGTTTGTGGAAACCATATAAGAGTTGAAGAATATTTTGGGTATAGGATTAAAGGTGGTGAGCAATTCGAGATTTCTTTCATTATGTCATCACCTTTTAAGTGAAGAAGTGTGCGATGGATCTGATTGTCCATCACAACATATGCATCACCAACTACTATGAGTATGTACTGGAGCCCTCCTTCTATGGATGAGGAAGGATGATCATGAAAATTGTCCCCAAAACATCAATTGTAATGGGGCCATCTCACATTTTCCCTTGAATAAATATGAATAAATTATAAATACATTCTTTTGAGATTTGCTTAAAATCTCTTATAATTTTGAAAATTATAAATATTTCATTATCATAATTTTTTATTTCAATAATTAACAAATTTTTTTTTATAACTACTCTTATATACAATAATAAAATTGCCCAAAATTTTAAATAAAATATA